AAGAAGCGCTTACCGTATGGGTGACGATGTCCTCAGGAAAGCGACGAATTTGGGACACAGTGCGATCTTCAGAAAATTGAAGACAGTCGAACCCATGGGATCAAAAGATGATCGAATCAAAGCATCTCGGTACCTTTTAGAACATATGTTCTAAACGAGGGGTAAGATGGTGGAGAGACTTCATCAGCCATCACAGGGGACTCCGTATGGTACACGGAAGGCATAAAAACAGCGTCGGGCACAGGCGCTGGTATAGTCGAAAGAGGAACAACTGGGGAAAGGATTACCTTAAACCTGGGTACAACTACGCCCGGAAAAGGATGGAAAGAGCCTACACACGTAAGCACATTAGGATCGTAACCGGAGATGAAGCCACAATAAAGGCTTTAGAATCGTACACAATCAGGTCACAATGTGTGCTAGATTGTGTGTGTAAAAGAACTTACAACCCTGGCCGGGAGCACAAACGGAGTAAAACTCACTTGGGCAACGGGTACGAACAGGAACAAAGAAAACGAGATTGCTGCGGAACTTGCTAATGCAGGGACCGAGAAACCACTGATCAACCAAGAACCTGCTTGTGGTATATTTCATGCCCAAGTTAGGGTGGCAGTTGGGCAGTGGATCTTGGAACAACACAGAAAGTACTGGGAAGAGACACCGCAACTCCATACCGCAAAGCAGTTGGTGGGACCTCCACAACCAGTACGGAAAAATGAACTGCTAGGTCTCAGCAGTCAAAAAATAAAGAGGATGGTGGCTTTTTTAACAGGACACGCCCCCTGCAAAAATCACCTCTTCAGGATGGGACTGAGCGATCAACCAACCTGCAGGGGTTGCAAATTAAAGTACGAAACTACTCTGCATGTTATGTGTCACTGCACGTCATATGCAACAGGAAGACGAAGACTCCTGGGAGGGGATGAAATTCCACCAGACCAGATCATGCGAACTCTTCTCAAGATTCTTCTGGAATTGAATTGAATATACAGGGATAATGAGGGAGTAAAATTACGAGGGCACAATAGGACAGAACTGACCGCGGTGCAAGGCCAAACAGCAGCTCGGCTGTGAGGAAAGTCTTTTAGTGGGTAAACAGCTTAGCTGGAGTCCCACACAACTCAGAGCGACAGACCAGCAGCTCTGGGAGTGCATAAAAGAGCATTTCCCAAACATCACCGAAAAAAAAACATGAGAGCCACAAGGCCGATAATAACCTACCTTAAAAAAAGATATTTTTCTTAAATTTTGTGTCAGGCTTAAAGTTATAAACATTTTTTGAGTCCACGCTTTTACCCCTTCTTGGACCCTTGTATTATTATTATTATATATCCTTAAGTTCGAAAACTTTGGCATTTAAATAAATTAATGAATCTGTATTATAAATAAATTCTGAAATATTTGTAGATCTAATTAAATTGTCAATATTTTACGATTAGTTATACCCTACCTCCTGTTATTCAATGTGCTTTATGCAATACGTAACAATTAAATTAATTTATAACATTATTACGCATAAAAACTTCAATTTAAAACTAATTTACAATAAACAATATAATTTTCGTTTTTCTACCTCAATTTCATTACTATACGTCATTCATACTATACGCCAATCATCTATTGAAAAGTATGCCTAATGACATAATTATATCATATACGGATGACACAGCTGTCACCTCAACAGAATGATACCTGGAGTAAAGTTGAACTTGTATTCAAACAACTTAAAATTATTACAAAATTTTCAATATAGGATAATAAAAATAATAAATAAGAACGATTTCATGAATCATGCCAATCCTTTGAACATAAGACAACTTTTTGCATATAAATCAACAGTACCCATTACAATGACTTGAAAAATAAATGTTTGGCATCAGTTAGTATAAGAAGAAAACTACCAATACAGATTCCAAAAAGAAGCAGAACAGTAAACATAAGAAATAGCTATATTAGGGCTATTAATATATTTAATGAGCTTCCGAACGAACTGAAAATATTAAAAAATAATGTAACAATAAAAGGTAAATTAAAGGAATGGATCAGGCTGAATGTGTAGTCTAATAAACTATTCTGTAAACAGTGTGCAAATTTGAAATTAAGTTTAACTTTAAGTTAGTTATAGTTAGTAGAAGTTCTTCCAGTCGACGTGTACCGCTGCGAGATTTTCCGATTAATTGCATATGTAATTTACTAATGTAAAATTGTACTGGTTCAACAGTTAAAGTTAAAGTTAAAGTCTATCAAATTCGATCAACGACTTACCATGTTGAATACCCATTTCCGTGACCTTTAACGTTCCTCCTTTAATCATGGCCTCATAATTTGGCTTGATATGCGTCAGCTCAGTGTTCATCAAGCCATACATTTGACCATCACCTTTATCTTCAAACACAAACAGAACGTGAATATCTTTTATAAGTGTTTTTGTCACTGTGGAATGCCATGATTGGGTAACACGCCTATAAAGCAACAAAAAACCATAGACATTACAAACATAAATTATAGATAAACTTACCTTGAAGTTGTAGTGATCGCTTCCCAGTGATATTCGATGTAAGGAATAATTTCTTTCTCTTTATTAAATAACAATTTATTGGTACCCTCTTTAGCACTAGCTTGCTGCAGGTTGGCAATAGCGGTAACACACATCTGAGTAATTTCTGCACAAACATACGCCTATAAATTATATGAAACCGACCAAACGAGCAAAAAATATGTTAAGTACATAGACTCCAAAGTAATATACTTAATTGAAAATGAGTGTTCAACATTGTGGTTACTTACGAGCTTGGCTCTTTCTAAACGTCTCTAAGCCAGTTTGGGAGCAATTTTTACAAAGGAATACGTAGTTTGCCAAAAACGGTACTAGCTTTCCCAATTGGTAGCCAATACATGATTCGTGAAACCATCTAATGCAATTTGCGCATAGCAACTCTACAATATTTAAGTTTCGATCTTTCCCACTAAAAACAAATGTTTCGAAAATTTTATTGCTTTTCTCTTATGTGTCTTGTAATCAAAGACATTAATAAATAGACACAGACCGAATTCTCAAGAAAATCAACCATCTTACAAGTAGTATTTCAAGTAAAACTTCTGACGTCAAGACCAAGCATAGAAAATATACGACTTTAGTTTCTGTTTGTCAATTTCAAACCTACACGGTTGTTCTAGTAGAAATTCGAATTAAAAGTATCATACGAAGCAGCAGTTACCCATATAAAGATTCAGAAAATGGCCACCCTGTATTTTAACGAAATTTACCAACGGTCAATGGCTAGGAAACCGGTATGTTTCGCAGTAAAATGATTTTGTTAATTTTTGTTAGTGGCGTGCGTACCTAAACGCTACCGAAATGGTTAACGAAAAAATGGTACAGCACTGTAGTACTTAATTTTAATAAACATAAGATTTTAAGCAAGAAAAGTATACGGTAGATCCTCCCCATCCCCCCTAAAATTAGGTTTACATTATTTAAGGCGCGAAAAATTAATAGTGTCTAAAAAAGAGAGAATTGCAAATTTTCAAAATATTTGATCCGTACCTGTAGTTACTATTAGACATAATCAATTTTTCTTGCGTAGATTACGATAATTATACCTCTAAAGGGGTGCATTTTAGGACACATGATTATAGGAAGAAAATGTAGGTATACTAATTATGACAAAAACTCGATTTCGTAAATTTCGTCTTCAGATTCTTCGATTCAGTTTGAATTGTAAAAATTCGTCTTTGCTTCTAAAGTGTTTTACTTCCGGAATAAGATTTAAATTGTGCATTTGCTTCGTGTGAGGTAACATTTCATCTTTGAGATAATGATTGAAATCACACAAAGAGCATTCTATTAAACGATGTACTTTAATATTTTCAGGAAACGTTCATCCATGACTAATATATGACTTCTTGTAAATAAATTGTTTTGCAGAGGATTTACACTAAAACTATTTTACAGGAAAAATATTTGTTATCTTCAATTCCGGATGCTTAATTTCTCTGTGACGTTTCAAACTCTACTTCAGGCTAAAATCTTTAAAACCAACCCAACTTTTTCTAATCAAAATATTACACAGGCAGGTAGTGCATCGGGTATTACAGATATTTTCAGGTTATGTAGAAACGCTCGCTAACTGCGCAATTGGTGCAATAATTCCGGCCATTTTCTAGACGCTTGTGGAATCAAGGCAGGTAAACTTGCGTGTATCGAAATCGGCCCACCGTTAACTTTTGACTTTATTTATATATTTTTTTAGACTATTTCTCAGATAAGAAAAAAAGAAAAATACGGTTTGAAAAACAATTTAATATGCTTTAATGTGATAGAAATTTATCACAAAGGTTTTTCGTTAATACAGGGTGATTCAAAATTGGCGTCATTCCTCTGGGAGCGTTGTCTGGCGGTGTTATAGGAGTACAGAAAAACTAGTAAAAGAAATTAATTAATATTAAAAACTGAGAAATTTGCAAAAAACTATATCAGAAATACGGCAGCAATGTTTTTCAAGGTAATCTGCCTAATTAACATTGCGCAAATACCTGTTGCTTCGTAATTATTTAAAATTCCGGTAACCATGGATAAATAGAGTGACAATAAGATAGACAAGGATAAACGGTAAATTCAACAGGAATCGTTGAATGACGGAACCTATTTCGAAATGTCAACCTGTTCTCATAACCTCGAATTATGCGGGGTTTGGTGTTTACATAAATAATCCATACAACACCAAACATTTGAATGGTTAACTAAAAAACAAGCTAGTGCCTGTGTAATCTCCTTATTATCCACTCTTATCAAGCAGCTTCTCGTATTCAGTTAATTAACTCGTGCTCCATTTGTATCTCCTTGTGCTGTGGGTATCGTACAAACGAGGAAGGAATGTAGCCGGTATTTATTTGGTGCCTGGGAAAGTGTTAGTTGTTGTGTTCTGAGTGCCCTTGGAAGGCTCTGCTGCAATTATGTCCAATACTTGTTCCTCTGTGCTTGGAACCCGAACATCGATTGTCGTCCACTAACTTCCTGGAACCACTCTCCTCGCCCTTTGTTGGCGTGATTTCTTTCAGCTTCCGCCATGTTACTGTAGCATTTCTCTTGAACATTAGTTCAGGGTAAATGCAGATCCGCAAATTCGTGAAAGAAAATTCAAAGTAAGTCACAGTTTGACAGATTATTGTTATTATTGACAAGGGCTATCCACCTGTAACTATCTGTTAATGGCAAAGCACAGCGGCAATGATGTGTTTTGCCGAATATCGAAAATTTTCGTAATTTGAAGCAAAGATCGTAATTTTTCTTTTTGAATGCTTAAGTATTCCAATATGCTATTAATTAAACATGAAACAATTTCAAAATAATGCTTAATAGCAAAGTTGAAATTCGATCTTCAACTGTTAATATCTTCTAAAAATTTTTGAAAAAAAAATTTTCAATATTTTTCTCGTACTTCCCAAGTGAGCATCCATCACCCCTTAAAAGGAATGACGCCAATTTTGAATCACCGTGTATGCCGGTAAACAAATGAAACGTGTGTATGTGGTGATGTACCGAAAATAAAGAAATTGTCAAATATTAAAATTATTGCGTTTGCAACTGAAGTGTGCATAGTAATTCATTTTTCATAATCTCAATAGTGTTTAAGTGTGTTAGTTTAATGCATACTACACCACAAAAAGCCGGCCAAATTATTGCTTTAATCGAAAATGGACTGGAGCGAGCTGTTGCTATACAATTGGATGACACGCGGAGCGGTTCGGAGAGTGTGTAAACGTTATGAGGAAACTGGATCCCTTCATAGGCGACCTGGAACAGGCAGAAGGCGACTTACAACCGCTCGTAATGACCGCTTTATTGTATCAACAATATTAAGAAATCGTCACCTTAATGCCGTGCAAGTGCAACAGCTCCGTGACGTGCGAGGAGTGGCTATTAGTCAGTGGACAGTAAGGCGAAGACTGCAGGAAAATAACCTAACCCCTAAAACACCTGCGATTGGTTCAAAACTTACTCCAGCTCATCGGCAAGCACGCCTGCGTTTTGCACGGGATCATCTAAATTGGACGTTGGAACAATGGGGATCTGTTCTGTTCTCAGATGAGACCAGAATATGCCTTCATGGTAGCGACCGAAGAAAGAAAGTGTACCGAAGACCAAGAGAGCGATTTGCAGATTGCTGCTTTGACGAGCGGAGTGCTTATGGAGGTGGTTCCTGTATGATCTGGGGTGCAATTTCTATAGGAGCACGAACGGACCCTGGGATCATTCGTAGGGGCGACACCGTTTTCGTGTCAGTCGGTTTTTCGGGTTATGGAGTGGCCAGCATACAGTCCTGACCTAAATCCGATCGAACACTTATGGCATGAGCTAAAACGAAGAATTCGAGCTGGACTTCATACCCCAAACTTGATCCCAGAGCTTATTGTTGCAGTAGAAGTAGAGTGGTTTAACATCCCGCAAGAAACAATGGCAAACTTGAATAGGTCTATGCCTAATCGTATGAGAGAAGTCATTAGGGAAAGAGGCGGTTATATCCATTATTAAAAAATTAAGTGTTAAGTTTTAAATTGTCAATAACCCTATTTATGTTAATAATAAAAAAGCTTAATTTGCTTAATGCATTAAATTCACCATGTTAAACATATGATACTCACAATAATTTGTACTCACATTAAAGCATGTTAAATTGTCTTTCAAACAGCATATTTCCTTTTTTGATCTGATGGATAATTAAAAAAATATATATAGTTAAAGTCAAAAGTTTACTGTGGTCCGATTTCTATGCACACAAGTGTATTTGCCTTTTTGCTTTGTTGAAATATTGAAATCTCCGAAGATGTTCTGGGACCAGCATCGAAGGCGAGCCCTGTTATTTCAAATCGCTTGTTATTTTATATCGGTAACCGGCATGCGTATTGTATTTCTCTCAGCATTACAGAATGGACCGAAAATAAGACCGTGTAATTGGCTGGCCACGTGACGATTAGTATGAAAAATATCAACGACGGATCTACCATGACCTTACTTTCAATGCTATTTATTTATTTATTTTTATAGTATTGACAAATCCAAATTACTCTTTGGTATTGCTGCCTTCACCTATTTGAAAAAATGCGTAATCAATCATTGTGCTGTAGCTTCGTATATTTGGTATTTGGCTATTCAAAACGGGCTTGTCTGTGACGATTTTGTGTGATTGAAGAGTAGAAATAACAAAGGGGGCAAGTGCCAAAATGCATGTTTTAAGATTATTAGCAAAAAATGCAAGCAAACAAGTTAAGTTTCGCATTTCGACATATTCGATTTCAGATATTAAGCTTAGCATGCGGACTAGCATATTAGCACACAGCGCTTTCGTAAAGGCATTAAGACAACCACTTGCCCCCTTTGTTACTGCATTATTAATAATTTAGTTTGTTTTCTATCAGTAAAATTCTGCCCAATCAAAATATTTAAATATCTACAGCTTACTGTAGATATTATCCATTAAAAACCAAATGTATCACTGACGCAACCTGAAATGCGGACCGGTTTTCCTTCCGATCATCGGATAGCAAATACCCATCGAATAGCCAGCAAAATCGGAACATGATCGGATACAAAAACGGCAACGGATCGGGCAGGTAGCGGAAAGATGTGAACTACGGCGTTGAAAGTCCAGTACCATTTTGCGCTCAGATCGGATAGATGTCACCCGGCCTTTAGACGGGCAGGCCCGCACAGACCCGGGACAGCAACGGACAGAATTGTCGCCAAGCATAGGTTGTTGGTTACTCCACGTGTCTGTGACGGTCTTGCTGAGCTAATTTATTTCTTGGCTTTAAAGACCTTCAATTTGGTGATTTTTTCCTGATCACTGGTGAAAATTTGGATACAATAGTTTCGTACTCAAATTTATTTTTCTTCTTCGAGTTATGTGACGTTGGCAATCACTTAGGAAAACACATCCATCGCTGCCTTCGGCCAATCTGAAGAGTTCTCTTGCAGCTCGGACACGCAGTTACGCAGGCAGGACACCTGCTTCCTACGTTTTACTACCATGATGAGCTCACGATCTGTCCGCGATCTTCTTAAAACCTCGTCGTTAATAACTCTCGCAATCCAGGAAATTTTTAGAATCCGTCGCAGTTTCCACATCTCAAATGCTTCCAGGCGATTCAGCGTATTGGTCTTTCGTGTCCAGGATTCAACTCCGTACATACGAATAGGCCAAACATACATCATTCGTTGTCAAAGAGCCATTATTACAAAATAGTGGCTTCATCGCACAGAATCTAGAGCGTGCTATCTCAATCCGACTTTTAAGTTCTAGGATCTTAGGTTATCTGTTATAAGAGACCCTAGGCAATTGAAGTTTCTGACTCTCTCTACCTGTCATTCAACTCCAGGTAGGCGTTTGCATACTGTGTACGGCTGATTGCCATGAATTTGGTTTTCGTAGTATTCATGTTTAGTCCCATTTCCTTGCTGGCGTTCGTCACGCTGTTTAAATGTTGTTGGAGCTCCTCCATGCTTTCCGTCATAATAAACATATCATCTGCATATATCAAGTTGTTTATAGGTCCACAAGTCCAATGATCTTAATACCAATGTCGCTCTCTAATTCTTTTTTGAAAATAATATATGAATTCAAATTGAATAAAAGAGGAGACCGTATGCAACGCTGGCGTACACCTCGATATATCTATACATATTTGGTCGATCTCCAGTCGACTCGTATATTTGCCGTCAGATTCCAGTACAGGTTCCTTATGATTTGAAGATCTCTCTGATCAATAAACGCAGTGCTTCAATGAGTTTTACATGTTGAACACGATCGAACGCCTTTTTGTAGGCAACAAAACAGGCAAATACGTCTTTGTGCTGATCTATGCACTTCTGTAGTAGTACAATGAGAGAGCAAGGCCTCTCTGGTCTCAAAGCCATGTCTAAAACCAAACTGCGTTTTACATTTAGGAATGTTTTCCGGGCTTTGAAGCCGTGGTCTATCGGAATTTCTTCCTGACGTTTCGTCCACAACTGCGGTGGACATTTTCAAAGGCGATGAGGCAGTGGGCGAAGTGATCTCCCGTGCTTTCCACTAGTGTATATTTTGTGAAAAAACTCCACAATATGCTCGATGTTCTTGTACTCAAATTTACTTATTATAAAGTATCTGAACAACTTCATCGTTTAAGCTCCTTGTATAAAATGTAACTTTCTTACCATTTCTCGTTTTGTATTCATGACTTTTCGCTCAGTTCTAGTTACAATTGGCCCGATTTAGTTGCATTGTTAGCTAATAATAACAAGGTTCGATTTTATTTTCACATACTTTTAATAGTATTAGTTTTATCACTTCAAACTACAAAAAGTGTTTTATCTCAAAAGCCGTAAGAGATATCCAGATATCCAGAAAAACAAGGTATGCCTTTCCTGAAGCAAAAAAAAACAAAAAAAAAATCTAACTGATTAATCATATCCCCAAATTTGGGAACACCGTTAAATTTGTACTCATCATACAAGTTAATTTTTACCGCACCTGTGCTATTTCAAGATTTCGGATAAATTTCCATTTAAAGAAAAACGAGCATCTGTGAGCTACTTTTGCTTATCAGAAATTGTTTTTCTTGACGTAACACAAGCCTTTGACAAAGTGTGGCACGAAGGCATGATATCTAAAATTAAAAAAATGTTTCCAACAGAGCTTGCTTGTCTGCTGGCATCGTACTTGACAAACAGGATCTTTCAGGTAAAAATAGCAACTTCAGCCCGCTCCAGCAGATAAATGCTGGAGTCCCTCAAGAAAGCGTACTGGGCCACACCCTGTACTTATTGTTCACATCAGATTTACCAACAGCAAAAAGCATAAAAAATGGAATCTCATCTACACGTCATCTCATACGGACCTAAATACAGCAACAGCAATGTTACAGAAGCACCTTGTAAAGCTGGAAACCTGGCTCAAGCACAATAGAATCAGCATAAATACAGACAAGTCAACCCATGTAACTTTCTCACTCCGAAGATACACCAGGTCCCAATCATATTTAAATAATGAGCTAATACCGCATAAAGACGAAATCAAATATCTGGAAATTCACTTGGACAGTCGGTTAACATGGAGACCACATATATGGGCTAAACGGAAACAGTTAGGCTTAAAAATCAGGCAAATGTACTGGCTAATCAATAAGAACTCAGCACTGTCTCTTGAGAGCAAGCTCTTAATCTAAAATGCACACTGAAACCGATCTGGACGTATGGAATCCAATCATGGGGCTCTGCAGCAGACTCAAACATTGAAATAATGGAACGTTTTCAATCTAAAACACTAAGAAACATAGTAGCAGCACTATGGTTCGTACCCTATGAAATTATCAGAAAAGACCTTCAAATTACTACAGTGAAAGAAGAAATAATAAACTACTTTAAAAAATACAAAAACAGATTATCGAAACATCCAAATGAATTAGCAAAAGAGTTACTTAATAATACTAATGTGGTGTCTCGTTTTCGGAAACGCAGGAACTTGTTCAACTTTTACCTTGTAAATTTTTAGAATGATTTAACTAGTCTATTGTTCACTCAGTTTAAATGTTTTTGTAAATAAGTGATCATGCTTGTAAGAGTGCTTTACTAATGAGTGAACACTCACATGTTATTTTTTATGTTAACATTTTTTTCTTATTGGCTCAGGACTGATTGTAAACAAATAAAAGGAGTTAATAAAAAAACTTTTAAAAAAACTTTTGCTACAAAAATTTCACGAACGGCTACTAAACGGTGTAATAATTAAGAATAAATTTCAGTTTTAAACTTGCAACTTTGAATTCAACAAGGAAGCAACATGAACATAATTCAATAAGGAAGCCAGATCGGAATTTTTGTTATATGAAGTACTGGCCTTATTTTCAGGTCTTCTGTGGTCGCCATCATTGTTGACCAACAATTTTGGGACACCCTGTAGAAGTCAGTTTTTAGGTTTTTCTAAAATTTTTAACAAATCGAGTTAGGTACACATTTGCGAATTAAACCGACAAATGTGTGTAATAATTTATTCATATACTGTAATGTTGAGGCCTTCGTTACCTTCTTTTTTACTCACTCTTTACTAAGCCTTGAGCTATAATCAAGGTAAAGTAAAAATTACGGTTTTAAATTAACTGATTCGCCAAATACGTCGTGATGTTGGGAACTTATACTCATCGGACATTTGTTCTAAATAAAAATATTCTCTTTCCTCAGCCTAATAACCACCCCTGTTTATAAATATAAGTATTATCAAAAATGTAATATTCAAGTTTATTTTCACTTGCTCCGCCTATGACTGCGGCTTCTAGAATTTCCTTCATTATAACAATTAAGCGTAAATGATCAACAGCAACTAAAATCCCATTGAAAAGGTAAAAAATACAAATACACAAACGTAAAATGATTAATAATAAATTGTGTAAGGTTAGGTTACACAATAACACATGTTTAATACTGAAAGCAGTGAACTAGGCATTCCAATAACTATCATTTTGTTACAGAAATAACGCAAATGCAGTATTAAAATAAGGAATAACATTAGTACTGCATGACAGTATTTAGCATGTCTCTCTATTTAGCACTCTCTAATGTGCAGAGGCTGGAGCAAGATTTATCCCATGAGAATGTTTGTATGAATGTACTTATATACTAACCAATAACAGTTGCCTGCTTCCGGTTGTTTCTTTTCTTTCTTCTCATCATCAGCATGTAATTTAACACTTAGATCCATTTTAGTTAAACTATTGGTTGTAGAAGAAATGCTGGACTCATTGTCGGTTTCACTGTTTGGTGTTTTATCGTCGGCGTCCTGATTAACCTCTATTTCCATACATCCATTTTTTCTGAAAATTTAATTTAAATAAGACACAAGTCAAATCACGCAAATATTCAAATGAAAGGGGAATAAATTCGTTTTGCCACAAAATCACGAAACATTTCAAGTAAAGATTTGCAATAAGAAAAAACCGATCATACCCGTCATCTTTCTCTTCAGACATATTCCAATTTATTCGGAATTTTTGTAGAACGAACAATTGATATATTGAAGGTCAAACAATCAAAAAAACTTTGTTGGAATTTTTAATTTATACTTTAGGGGTTAAGACCATAGAAGTCATAGATAAAGACGAGTAGATAGAAGCCCGGAACATTCCCCAAGGGGGGATATTTTGTGGATAGAAGTTAAGACAAAAAAAAACGTCATTCTATGAACGTCATACTGAAGTCCACAGAACACCTCTGAACAAGAAGTGACAACTCCATGCAAACGACCGTGATCGCTTATGCGCGCTCTCTGCCAGGTGTTTCGGTCCCTAAATTAAAAAGAAGCGGGAATTTCGATTTATGAATTACAATATGATTGTAAAGCCTGTGTCCCATGCATCCGCTTATACGATGGTACGATGATACGAAAGTCTTTCTATTGGTTGGCGGAAGAATTCGCAGATCTCCAACCAATAGAAACACTTTCGTATCATCGCATCATCATATAAACGGAGCCTTTACTTCTGTGAATTTATTGTTTGTAGCAAGGTATATTTTGCCCAACTACATTAAAAATCACTGCACCTGTAACAGCTACCTTTAAAATGATGTAACGCTGGCAAACACAAACTTAATACTGACCTAGAAACAAAATGGGAACATGTAGGTATATGTATTGACGTTATTAGAAAAAAAACATAGTCATAAATGATAAAAATATTTATTATAGCAGAAACAGAAAAACAGTAATAAATGATAAATATATTTATAATAACAGAAATAGGAAAGAACAAAGTACACCATATAAACGATCAACATATATCACAAACAGGACAAACAGACGTATAAATGATAAACAAGTAAAAGCAAAAACTTCAAAAGCATGTAAAAGGAACAAATAAACAAAATTATTGATGTCAAAATCTGCCTTTCTATAAAATAATAATACACATATTTTCACATATTGTAAATAATACATTCCGAAACTGCCGTTTTATTACATATATTCGTCATGCAAAGGGCAACAAATTATTCAAATGTTTAAGAAATCCATTAAACCTTTTTGACGTAGCTGCAATAGGAAAAATGTCTTCTATCATATTCTAAACAATTCTAAGTTTTATTGTTTAAAAGATTACTTACATTCTTTACCCCGAATACGTCTTTCCTGCAACTCTTCCAATTATGCTCATAACGTTTCAATGTCCTCCTCATAGCTTGTGAAATGGAAGTTGTTTCCTTGGGGTCATTTTGTTCCTGCTGGTTCCTCGAATCGAATGAAGCAATTCGCTTCTCACATGCAGCGGTAAACCTATTAAATAATTTTACTTAATACTTTAGAACAGCGTTTTCTTAAACTTAAGAAAAAGCTTTAACCTACTCTTACTGTAGTTATTACATTTTAATGATTATTAAAACTTACCGATTTCACTATCTACATTATGCGGAGGCATCGAAAAAGTTGATTCTTGTTCCCGTTCGACAGAAGTAGAATCATCATGAGAAGTTTCTATACCTGATAAGTTTTTTGTTATTATAAACATTT